CCGCACCCTTCCGGTTTAGGGTTTAGGGTTTTGGGTTTGGGGTTTGAGGGTTTAGGGTTTCGGGCGCAGGGTTTATGGTGATGGGTTTAGGGTTTGAGGGTTTAGGGTTTAGGGTTTAGGGTTTAAGGGTTTTAGGTTTTAGGGTTTAGGGTTTAGGGTTTTAGGCTTTCGGGCTTTAGGGCTTTAGGGCTTACTTTAGGGCTTAGGGTTTAGGGTTTAGGGTTTTAGGGTTTAGGGTTGTAGGGTTTTGGGTTTAGGCTTATTTCCAGGGAACAAATGGGGAAACTACCTCTTGCTGGTGGCAAAGGCGACTGAGGCGTTAGGGTTTAAGCTGGAGGTGTTTGTGGTTAGGGCCGTTAGGGTTTAGGGTTTAGGGTTCAGGCTTACAACATGGTGCTGGTGTGAATTATGGTATAAGTCTTGTTGGAGGAGCCGGAAGAATTGTGTTCATATTCATCCCGACGCCCATACTACGCAACCTGATTCCCTTTTAAGGAACCAGACCCGTGATGGCCGAGTTTCCGCATCCTGACGTGGGCGTTATGATTCTCTACTCCTTATTGTGGATGCTGCAGGATAAACCTAAGCCCCGGGCCCTCCCTCTTCCGACCCCTATAGTATCCCCTAATGACCGTACCCTAAACCCTGAACCCTGATGACTCTACCCTTGTTGCTTCTTCTCAAGTTCAAGAAGAAGGGGCACAAGAGCTGCCGAAGAACCTCGGAGAAACCCGAGGGGGTTTAGGAGTTTAGGGTTTTAGGGTGCAGGGTTTAGGAGTTTCGGGTTGAGGAGTTTAGGGCTTTAGGGCTTTAGGGTTTTAGGGTTTAGGGTTTAGGTTTAGGCAAGCTTCTGGCGTTCGCAGTGCATCCGCGCCAGGTGCAGACGAAGCCCTCGCCGACAGCAGCGTGCAGAATCGTGAAGAAGCAGAGAAACCGGCTAAGAGCCACAAAACCCTAAACTCTAAACTGTTACCCTAAACCCTTAAACCCTTAAACCCCTAAACTTCAAACCCCTAAACTTGAAACCCCTAGACCCTCGAGCAGACAGGGCTTGCTTAGCTGTGCGAGCTGCTGTCTCTTGCAATATAGAAGCCTAAATAATTGCCTATAGTATTCCTTAGGGTTCCTTAGTATAAGTATAGTAGAATGACCTATATTATTGATTAGGTTTCCTTATTCTAAGTATAACATAATGGACCCAAAAGCCCTATTCTAATCATTAAGGCCCCTACAGTAGACATCGGCCCGGGGATGCTTCTGCCAGGGGGTCAATCCGAGTCTTTGGGGATGAGACCTGAACCCTTTAGGGTTTAGGGTCTCGGCTTAGGTTTTGGGGAGCAGGGTTGGAGGTTTAGGATCTTGGCTTAGGGTTTAGGGTTTAGGGTTTAGGGTTTAGGGTTTGGGCTTTTGGTCTAGGGTTTAAGGTATCGGTTGCTTCACTAATTTCCTGTCGGGTGTTTCTTTTTTGCGAAGGTCCAGGCTCACTCGAGCCGATGAGGATGATGGTGATGCCGATATCGATACCGACGGAGATGCCGAAGCTGATGCTCATGGCGATGGGGATGGTGCTGATGATGGTTCTGGCGCTGTTGACGGTGACGCTTCATGACGGTCGATGTAGATGGTGATGGTGGTAATGCTGCTGCTGACGGCTGCTGTCGATGTTGCGATTGCAGCTGGTATCGCTGCTGCTGCTTTTCCCGTAGTATCAAGAGCTGGTTGTTTTGGATGGTATATTCTAGTCTAACTACAATAAGGACTGCTAAGGAATACGTTTGACAATTATTCAGGCACCTGTGTTATAGCATGAGTATGGTAAGGAACCCTGCGGAACAGCAATACTAATCACATAGGCTTCTATAGTACCTATAGTCTCCATTGTAGTTCCTTTTTGGGGGGTTTCCTTATAGGATCCTAACTACAAAACTGGATAAACCAAAACCGGACTACAATGGAGACTAGAGGCAAGTGGGGGCCTTGGTAATTAGAATGGGGTTTTGGGCTACTTTATAGTCTACTTATAATAAGGAACCCCCAAAATATTATAGGTAGTTAGGCCGTTAGGCCCCTATATTAGGTAGTCTTCATATGGCATCAGACAAGGACCGACTCTGCAAGCGAATTCATTACGAATGCCAGTTGTGCTAGCTTGGGAGTTTTTTTTTTAAAAAGTGCAGTAGCCTCTTTCTCCATCCGCAGCGAGACTTGCCCAGTCGGGCATACACTAACAAAAGAGAAAGCTGTTGCTTAGCCACCAAGCTCACGGGAGTTTAGGGTTTAGGGCTTTGGGCTGCGGGTTTGGGGCTTAGGTTTTGGCGCTTTTAGACTAGAGGGTTGGGTTTAGTGTCGAGGGTTGAGGATTGGTAGCTTCGGGTTTAGAGTTTAGGGTTTGGGGAACGGGTCATAGGTTGACTTGATTTGGGCATGCTTTGGAACCCTCAATTCGAGCTATCCTGCGTAAGAGCCCCAAGTTGACCCCAACCCAGGCGCGCTCAAAAGCTACAAATTCTCTTCATCCAAAATCTCTGAAACCTACACCCGTTGAGAGATTTCCCGCCTCCAGCGTCGATTCCGCGACGATCTGCGGCGTGCCAGCAGATGTGCCAGACACCTGCGGATGAGGCTTCCGCTTTGCGTTACGACTCTTTCGGTTTGGGGCTTAAGGTTGGGGTGTGGGATTCTCGTACTCAAGGACCTCATCGCGCACGCAAGCAAAGAAAACACACCAAAGGGTTTGGGGTTTCGGGGAACCCTTTACAAGAGGCAGCCGTTCAAGGAACCCCAATTTCTTTTGAAAAGTTCAGTTCGAACCCGAACTCGCCTGCTGCAGAACCGTCGCACCTGGGTGCAGCGCGGTTTTGGGCGAAAGAAGTTTAGGGATAGGGAGCTGAGTTTCGGGATTTGGGATTTTACGGTTCAGGGGTTTGAGGAGTAAGGATTAAGGTAAGCAACGAGTCTGAGAGCGTACCCTATTGGGTTGCGCCGACAGAAAGGGTTGCAGGGGGTTTAGGGATTAAGGTTTAGGGTTTATAAGGGTTAGGGATCAGGGAATAGGGTTTCAGGTTTAACGGATGGAAAGGTGAGAAGCGCATGGGGTTTGAGAATTTGCGATCTTCACTGTAGCCAACGAAATGCCGTAAACCCTCGGAAGCAGGGGCACGGCGTGGAGTTTAAGTCGTAGGAACTAAGGCTCAGGCTATGCGATTAGGGATTTCGGAATTGAGGTTTAGGCTTTCGTGTTTAAGGTAGAATTTGGGGTTCAGATTAGGACTTCAGTCTATGCAACTCATGCAGGCTTTTCAGGTTTGGAGAATTTAAGTTACCGGGTTTAGGGTTGAGGCTCTATGAAAACGATCTCGGATGTGAGAGATTAAGGACTGCACGATCTTGGGCTTCAGGGTCACGGCTTATCTTAGAGGCTATCGATCGGAACGTTGAATCGGAAGTATGATGCTCTTTGCCCACGCTTCTAGTCTCAGGGTTCTACCAATGCTCCAACTACCCTTTGCACGCTGAATTTTCCAAACCCTACATCCCCAGTCCAAAACCCTACGAAATATACAGTTCCTAAACCCTACTTCCTAATCCCTTATTTGTAAAGCTTGATGCCTGACCCCGTAAACCTGATTCGTAGTTCTGTCGAAGCAGCCCACACTGCTCTGTCGAGATGCGTCCTTGGCTCCCAGTACTTGGGTAGTTCTCTAAATCAAAATCCATGTTAGGGCCCTTTCTATAAGGGTGCCGCACTAATTATTTGGGAGACCTGAAAAGCGATCTCAACTTAGAGAACTACCCAAATTCAGGGCCGGAGCATTCTGTGGCCGAACTTCCCACGCCAAGATCAAATGCCACATGCAGATATGGTCAAGAACTGGATAGTACATGCGATGCATGCTATCCGTGCATATGTATGATCACGGCCCCGTAGAATTAACTGCAGAGGCCCAACACTAACTCCGAATCTTCCAAACTTAGAGACAAATTACTAAGTCCAAAAACCTCCAAATCCTAAACCCTTCAGCCTAAACCCCAAACCCTAAAACCCTGAACGCCGAACCTACCAAACTCTGGATTGAGGTTTTTAGGTTGCGAGACAGGGCTGCCCTTGTAACGAAATGGACAGCGCCCTAGGAACCCCTTCAACAGGGCAAGGCTTAGAGTCTAGGGTTTAGGGTTTAGGGTTTGGGGTTTAGGGTTTAGGGTCTATTCTGTAAGGATCTTGAAGCTGCACACCTATCAAACGCTTCGGAAAGCTTCGACAAGCTTAAGAGCCGTCAAGAATCCTTCTATCGCCCGAAACCCCTACAAGACACCCCCACCCCCCTACAAGACCCATGACGCAGCTCCTTGTAAAACCCGTGATCACCCTTACGCAGGCCCTCCTAAACCAAATATCTGGTAGGTTAGGACCCTCTAATAAGGCAGGCCTTGCAAGGGACCCCACACGGGTTAATAAACACCGAAGGGCTTCGGGTTTCGGGAGTGGGGTGTAGGGTTTAGGGTTAAGGGTTCGGGGTTTAGGGTGTAGTGCAGGGACACCTCAAAGAGACCCAAGGGTGTTCTGGTTGATGAACGCAAAACCAGAAACCTTTGTACAGAAAAATCCCGAAACCCCTAAACAACAACGACCCGCTAAACCACAAACCCCAACCCTAAATCCTAACCCTAAACCCTACACCCAATGCCCCAAACCCTAAACCCTAAACCCCAAAGCCCTAAACCTAAACCCCAAACCCCAAACCCCGAAACCCTAAACCCTAAACCCTAAACCCCCAAACCCCCCAAACCCCCAACCCTAAACCCTAAACCCCCAAAGCTGAAACCCGAGGTCCCCCCTCTTTCCATGTCGCCAGGCCACGAATTTGACCGGACCGAGGATGGTCTGCCTGAAGAGATCTACGTACTGTGGGGGCTTAGAATCATTAGAACAGGATCCCATGAAAGGCGGTTTAGGGTTTGGGGTTTTGAGGTTTAGGGTTTAGGGCTTAGGGTTTTGGGTTTTAGGGTTTAGGGTTTGGGGGTTCCTTCAAGGGTTGAGGTTATAGAATTGCTTTTTAGAAGGGCCTTCATAATCAGAGTAGGGCTGCTTTAAAGCATTCTTGCAAGGGTTACCGTAAGGCAGTTATGGCGGGTTTACTACGTAGGGGTGTCTAGGGTTTGGAGCCGGCGAGGTTACGAAAGGGGTTTCCACAAGTTCAGCGTAAGTCAGGGGGTTAGGGCTTGTGCAGTGGGCTCACGATCAAGTGTTCTGTCTGAGGCTATATGCTTCCAAGGTCGTAAAGTTTAGATACAAGCTGCTTCTTATTTCAGTTACAAGAGGGTTCATACACACTCCAATTATGGAATTAGGTTCCCAAAACCGAATTCCGAACAAGCAGCATGTATGGACCCTCTGGGTTACAAGTATCCTCAAATGCCCCTGCTTTGTCATGGCCGCAGTTGAATCGCACTTCCAGCGAAGGCCGTGATCCTCTACTCCCCCGTCATCGAAACCTTGTAGAACCCTTGAGACACCCTTCTAGACCCTAAACCCTCAACCCTAAAAGACCCTAAACCCTAAACCCTAAACCCTAAACCCTAAACCCTAAACCCTAAACCCTCAGAAGCCCCTTGTAGAACCCTTGAAGGACCCTTCTAGGCCCTAAACGCTAAGACCCTAAGACCCTAAACCTAAACTCTCAAGGCTTCTTCTAGAACCCTTCTAGAACCCTTAAAGGACCCTGAACCCTAAAGCCTTCTAGAACCCTTACAGGACCCTAAACCCTTAACCCTGATAGAAACCTTAAAGGACCCTAAACCCTAATAGAACCCTCAACATGCCCTAGAAACCGTAAACGAACCCTCAAAAATGATAAGCCCTTCTAGAACCCTTAAAGTACCCTAAACCCTAAACCCTTATAGAACCCTTAAAGTACCCTAAACCCTTCTAGAACCCTTAAACTACCCTCAAAGGACCCTAAACCCCAAAACCCTAAGACCTTATACCCTAAACCCTAAACCCTAAACCCTAAACCCTAAACCCCAAGTAGAGAGCCCTAAACAGCCTTTGGGCTTGGGGTTTTAGGGGTTTGG